TATGCCGCTGCTGGACCCCTGCCCTCCTGCTCATATGTCATTGCGTGGGAAGTGCCAAGAAGTGTGGTGCAAATGTACGTGGTAAAAATGCAGCTCTAGCGTCAAAAGCTGAGACCGACCAGTAAATCCGAGCCAGTCGATGAACTGGAACTCATCGCTTGACCCGTTTTTGTGGTACTATTGGTTGGTAAATAAGGCATCGTACGTGAGGCTCGACACGAATCATCTCGCATACAATCCGGCACCCAGGATGAATGCCTTGTCCACTTCCGGAAATCCTTGTGCATCTAAAATTCAAGCAATCATAAATGCCCTGTGTAAGTATTTCAGGCTCAAACTTGCAGCAGTATAAGGTGCAATTTCGAAAAGCGAGGGAGTATCCACGACAGTTGCGCTTCCGTCACATTATTTTCACATTAAAAACTCATTCAGTCAACGATACATTAGCATCCACGCGTCAAGTAAGCTAATGGAACACAGCAAATACGTCCCTGCTTGCATTTAGTAGTGTGAAATGTATTTTTACGCAACTATTTTGGTGCAAAAGCCTATCATAGCTAATAAATTCGGCGGTTGTCATGAATGAAACATTGAATGAAACTGCTTGCTTTCTTCCAATCGCTTATTTTTGATAAAGATACAGGCCGAGACAGACTGGAAGTCATTCATATGATTTGATAATCGATTAGCGAAACAAGGTTACCTAAGTAAGAGGGCTAACCCATTAAATCAAAAACATGTCAGAAAAACCATGCAATGTACAACTCCTTTTTAGATTCACACCTTGCACAGCAAAAGCAGAAAGTAAGCGAAAAATGCCCCATTAGCGGTACCATGAAAGAGCTGTTTAAATACTTAAATGAAGATAAAATCCAGGAAACTTGCTCACTCTGACATCATTGGGGTGGCTCAGGCCTAGTCATTCAATTATCAGCCCGACTGTTTTAAAAAGCATACCCGGTCATTGAAAACCACATGAAACAGGAATATGAATAATCCCTGAAGGGAATTCAAGATCGTAAATGCATAAGCCATAAAAATAGACTCTTCATTGATCCATAGCAGTCCAAAAGTCCACGTTAGACCAAGTAAAGCAACCAGTGCTATTGATCCTTTCAGCCAACTCCTAAAAATGCGAGAAAATCATTTAAAAAAAGAAAAGAAAAATCGAAAACTGGATTTTGAAACTCAAGCCCCCAATAAGAAAACTCCCAGGCATAACTTCGAAGTTGTTTTCTTTAGATAAACCCATAAATGATTTTTATGCGTTTTTGCATATATGTAAATTGCAAAAACGCATATTGGGAAGAGGCTGTCT